TTAAATAATAGATAGATAGATAGATAGATAGATAGATAGATAGATTAGAGTAAGCTAAGGGAATTTAATAAATCAAGGAAGATATAGGATTGATGTTTATGCGAAAAAAATTTCAGCTTTCTGACTCCAATACATTCGTTTCTAATGAAACGTAACATTGGAGATACTGAAATAAGACCCCATACTAAGGCATACTTTTCACAACTCCAGCAGGGATCGATTCATCATCAAAAAACCGAAACACATTCACCGTCTCATCCACCAATCAATCTTGTGTCTCATTGTTCGTCTCTCCTTAATTTCATCTGCATCCAATTCCCACAAAATTTTCAGCTTCGTTTTTTTTTTTTATATCTGAAAGGTTACCACAGAAGAATCACTCATCGACAATTAATCTTTTTCGCATTTAGAAGCCTGTATAAAACTACGAGCTGGTCAAGGTTACAAATGACTACACCAATCTCAAGACGATAAGCAGAATTGTGCGTTCCTCAACGTAAATATTCATGAGAAACTGACTGAAAAAAAAACGTAATAAATAATGAAATAATTATTTCGTAGTTTATTACGTTTTTTCAAACCATGGGTGACCATGGCTCTCCACAATTTCCTATCATTTTTAGCTCTTAAGTTTGTCTTTTTTACCATTCCATCTTATTTTTATTCAGCAATTCATTTACATACGTAGGTTAGGTATGTTACTGGCTGTTTCCCTCTCTCCATCTTGCCTTCAATATATCATGTAAGTATCAAATTCTCCAAGCCTCTTTTCCTCATTGTGTTTCATAGAAATTTCAACTCTTTCTCTTTCTGATTCAAAATTTGAGCGTCTCTTTCCTTTCCATTTTCCTTAAAATTCCATCGTTACTGAAGTGTTCCATATGCGGTATTCTCAGTATCCTTCTGTTGAACCTTATTTCTCTTGCCTCAACTCTATTCTCGATCTGTGCGAAAATTGTGCAACATTCACTAGTCAGTCAGCTATGGGTGATAAACGCTTAGGTGATAATGCTGCTTTCGATAAATGATTGACGAGGCAGATTTTTTCCCACGGTAGATTGCCATTTCTTTCTGCGGTAGACCAGTTTCCATCCAATGTTATAGAACACGACGTCCTACCTGCTGTTGATGACTTTTTGGGCTAACAAGCTGAAAGCATCTTCAACAATTGGATCCAAGCCCTGCAACACCGATGAAAGACGTGTGCGTACCGCAAAGGGGACTATGTAGAATAATAAATCTAATTTGAGCACATTCCATGAGAGTATTTTAGTCAGTCTATGAACGTTTTAGTGAACTTTCATATATATATATATATATATATATATATATATATATATATATATATATATATATATATATATATATAAATAATGGCTCGCGGCTTGGATTGAGGAATCGGAGAGCCGAGTTCAATTCTAGTCGAATCCATTACATTCACTTACGTGCTAATGCCCTTGGAAAAGGTATGACTTCTCTTCTTCTCCTTCAAACTATTCGCAAATAGCAAGACTGACTGGGTTCTATAGCCTTGGATGGCAACTGGTCTAGGAAAATGACAACTCTGTATTCAAAATCGACGGAGGGTCGTTTGGTTACCTTGTGGGGCGTAGTGCATATTCTGGGACATAGTGCACCAGATCTCTGTATTCGAACCTTCAATAAGTGTGGATGGTCCTGCACAAAGCCTTCACCACTATAATCAAATCTCATCTGCTGGTGTCGGTTCCTAGGAACTGATCTGCTTGACCTTCATATGTCGAATTCGACGAGATAGTATATATATATATATATATATATATATATATATATATATATATATATATATATATATATATATATGGGGGTGTAGATGCGAATAAAAAGAAGACAAGCGGAACATTACATTTCCTTGATACAGTAAGATTTTGGGAATATTTCAGAGCGTTCTCTAATACATCATTTGAAAAAATTATGTTACCTTATTTTATCCACTTTCTTTTCTTTCTATGTGTCATGTCCTTTCATGGCGTACGAGATCATGACTCTCCACCTCCCTCTATCCCTTGCAGGTCTTAACAAGTTCCTTCCCTCTGACACCTCCCCCAGACAACGTTCTGTCATCCACTTGCTTAAGTCCGCTAGATATGTCATATGTCGTTTTCCTTTGTCTCTTCGACCCGCCTGTATCAGATTCTCCAGGCACGCGTTGATCATTATGTGTCCCAGGAACTTCAGCTGCCTCCTCCTGGTGTTAGGTTTAAGACCCCACCTTGTTTGCATCCTCTCTAAGACCTCATCGTTGCTCATACGCTCTGTCGGTGATATCCTTGGCATCCTTCTGTAGAGCCACATCTTATCGCTTCGAGTCTCTTTGTCGTAAAGGACAGATGTCACGTAAAAGCTCAGTATTCTTTTAATCGTTACCGAAGAAATCCTCCTGTCTTGCAATACTCTGCCCAGCTTTTGGAATGCGTCCTTGGCCATCCCGATACGCTTACCGATCTCAGTTGCATTTACCGTCCTCTGTCAAAACGCATTTCTGGCTTATCCATGTTACTTTTGTGTATAAATACAAGTCACTGAATAAAAATGCCATGTATCTTGGGAAAGTAGTAAATATTTCAGGAGAGGATATATTTTAAATAATTCGAGTCGCAGATTTATATTTTTATAAGATTTGATAGATGCACTTTCTAGGATTTTCTAAGTAAGTTACTTTTTCTTTTGATAAGTGTGGTACTCTTCAGATCAAAGTTGAGGTTTTATTTATTTCTATTTATAATTAATGCATTTGATAAAATCTTATGTATAAGATCAATGTGCGTTCATATATAGTTTTAAAAAAGAAAAATATTACCAGCTATACATTTTTTAACAAAACCTTATTCAATGGAATTGTAACTGGGATCAAAACACTATGAAAGTGTAAAAATAGGTTTTAATACCAGAAAATCTTTGTAAAAAATTATTACCATCAATACATTTTTGAAAACCAAATGTTGCCAGCAATGCATTTTTAAAAACCAAATGTTGCCAGCAATGCATTTTTGAAAACCAAATGTTGCCAGCAATACATTTTTGAAAAAACAAATATTACCAGCAATGTATTTTTGGAAAAAAGGAAAAGAAAAATATATATTACCAGCTATACATTTTTTGAAAAAAAGAAAAATATTACCAGTGATACATATTTGACAGAAAATTATTACCAGAAATGGAATTTTTGAAGAAAAAATATTACCAACAATAAAAACTTTGTTGGCATTAAATAACCCATTGAGGTTGATATGCCGTAAAACCAAAACAAACAAACAAACATATATAGTTTGTTTTTTAAATTTCTGCAAGTTTCCCCTAATCTATTGTGTGGCGCAGTTGCGACAATTTATTTTGTATATACCCGCTTTCAGAATTATTATTGTTCTGATTCTATCAATAATAGTTTTGGATGCGGTTATAATTATTTTCATTTGGTTATTGGGTAGTAGATACAAAGGATCTGGTTTTATCTACTTTATTGTTGTTGTTCTTGTTGTTAATATCATCATTTGGGGGGTGGTATAGTTAGCCTTATGGATGAAATAATTAAGATATTGAATGTTTGTAATAGATGTTTCTATGTATATTTCTTTTTTTAGGTATATATTGGGATTGTAGATTTTTAGTGCCCTTAAATAAAATCCTATAATTATTCCACGTGTTGTTCTGATGCAGTGGTGAAAATAAGAGTTTATGAGTTCACTCTTCTAGATTATGTCAATCAGAGGACGAAACGCGTCAGTAAAGAAATACTTTCTCTTTGTCTTTATTCATATTGTCTTTTTACTAATATATTTTATTTATATCTGAATTTCCTTACTGACGGTCATTGACGGATTTCAAATTATGTACTATTAATTATGTGACAATATGTGTCGTATTTCTTAGATAGATAGATAGATAGATATGAACAAACTGATAGATAGATAGATAAATATGAACAAACTGATAGATAGATAGATAGATAGATAGATAGATAGATAGATAGATATGAACAAACTGATAGTTAGATAGATAGATATGAACAAACTGATATATAGATAGATAGATAGATAGATATGAACAAACTGATATATATATATATATATATATATAGATAGATAGATAGATAGATAGATAGATAGATAGATAGATATGAACAAACTGATAGATAGATAGATAGATAGATAGATAGATAGATAGATAGATAGATAGATAGATATGTTCCGTACGATTCAGGACGTGGACAATCATCTCGCTCCGCCATTTCCTGTCCGTTTTTGGTTCTCCGTAATTATTTTTATATATATATATATATATATATATATATATATATATATATATATATATATATATATATATGCTAATACTTGTTCTGTCAGCTATTTACACAAGCTCATTAGATAATTTATGCGCTGCTTTTCTATGTTACACTTGTCTTCAATCTGTTCTGTAAGTATCAAATTTTCCAAACCCTCTTTCCTCATTGTGCGCCCTAGAAATTTAATTTCCTTCCATTTGATTTTTTACGTAATTGCGCTTTTTGCTTTCATTTTCCCTAACACTTTGTTGTTGCTCACATGTTCAGTTCATGGTATTATCAGCTTCCTTCTGTAGAACCAAATTTCTGTTGCTTCAAGTCTCCTTTTCATCTGAGATGTGATTGTCCAGCATTCACCGAAGGTACCGATATTATAGTTTGGTACGAAAAGATTAAAATGTCTAAGTGTTAACGCACTGATAGATAGATAGATAGATAGATATTGAACAGAAAGAGACAGACAGATATTACAAAGAGAAAAAAAGAAAGAAAGTATGAGATTAAGATATATATTAACTGATGTTGTTAGATACATAAATAGAATCGAAACGGACTGAGATAGATAGATAGATAGATAGATAGATAGATAGATAGATAGATAGATAGATAGATAGATAGATATTGAACAGAAAGAGATAGACAGATATTACAAAGAGAAAAAAAGAAAGAAAGTATGAGATTAAGATATATATTAACTGATGTTGTTAGATACATAAATAGAATCGAAACGGACTGAGATAGATAGATAGATAGATAGATAGATAGATAGATAGATAGATAGATGAATGATAGATATTGAACAGAAAGAGATAGACAGAGATATTACAAAAAAAAAGAAAGTATAAGATTAAGATATATATTAACTGATGTTGTTAGATACATAAATAGAATCGAAACGGACTGAGATAGATAGATAGATAGATAGATAGATAGATAGATAGATAGATAGATAGATAGATAGATAGATATTGAACAGAAAGAGATAGACAGATATTACAAAGAGAAAAAAAGAAAGTATAAGATTAAGATATATATTAACTGATGTTGTTAGATACATAAATAGAATCGAAACGGACTGAGATAGATAGATAGATAGATAGATAGATAGATAGATAGATAGATAGATAGATATTGAACAGAAAGAGATAGACAGATATTACAAAAGAGAAAAAAAAAAGTATAAGATTAAGATATATATTAACTGATGTTGTTAGATACATAAATAGAATCGAAACGGACTGAGATAGATAGATAGATAGATAGATAGATAGATAGATAGATAGATAGATAGATAGATAGATAGATAGATAGATAAGAAAAGATTAAGATGGGTAGATATTAGCCCATTGAAATAAAGAAATAGATAAAGAGACAGTGACAAAAACAATATAAGTTTAAGATGGACAGAATCTCATTTGTGAAAACCAATGCTGCTTCCCGTTCAGTAATTGATTCGCTTTAGCAGTAAGCGAACCGGCATGTATCGTCATTTCTTGTTAAACCGTCCACGATTTAGGAGGAGATGGAGAAAGAATGGGAGCAGAAGGAGCGTTAGAAAAAGTAGTGAGAGAAGCAATAACAGCTATAAAAGGAAATCCACTATTTACTACAGCGCTAGGATTACGAAGATGATGATGAACTGCAAATACCTGAGTAAGGAAGAAACATGGCAAACGGTGAATTGGTAAAACCAGGAAGAAAACGAAGAATGAGGAGGGCAACACAAGGATAAAGAAAAAAAAAAGAAAGGAAAGAGTTAAAAAAGGTAGATATATAAATAGATGAAATATATGATAACGAAGATTAAAAATAAGAACGAAGAAAAACGGATTCAAGTGATAGCAATGAAGAAGCTAAAACTGAAACGAAGACGAGAAAGAAGGGATTGAAGACGGAAGACAATGAGAAAATGAATGCAATTTAAGAATAAAAAGATGAAAACAATGACAAAACTAATGAAAATATACAAGAATAACATGGAGAAGAAATAGATGCAAATGACGAAGGAAAAGATGTGAATGACGAAGAAAAAGGTGGAAATGAAGACAAAAAGATGAAAACGACGAAGAAAAAGACAAAATGAAAAACAAAGAAAACGAAACGAAGACGCTGAAAGTGAAAAATGGAAATGAAGAGAAAAAGATGAAAACGACTAAGAAAAAGACAAAAGGAAAACATAAAAAAATAAAACGAAGACGGTGAAAGTGAAAAAAAAACAAAGAAAAAGATGGAAATAAAGATGGCATAAACGGAGGTGACAAAGAAAAATGAAGAAAAAAAAAAGGTAACTGGAAATGAAAGAAAATAAGAAAAAAACGAAAGGAAAAATAAAGAAAAAACAACTTTAAAATAAATAAAAACAAAGATAAAAAGAAAAAGATGTAAATAAAGAAAAATGAGATGGAAAACGTAGAAAAGGGAAATTAAAATGAAAGAGAAAAATAAGAAAGAAATGAAGGAAATGTTGAAAATAAAATTAAAAAAAGAAATAAAAAGAAAACTTCTGGAGCCATCGAAATGGAAGATCTCTTCTGATAAAGAGTTTAAGCATTAACAGTGAAAATATATAAAAAAAATCACTAAAATGTGAGATTAGTAACAAGAACGACAACTACATCTAAGGATAAAAAAAGAAAATTGGAAATTAAAAAAAAAAAACGAAACAAAATGAAAAATGCACAACATATCAAAATAAAAGATTAAAAAGCAAATTTGAAAAGTCGCCACAGAAAGTAAGAAAATTTGACGCTCGCGTCTGGTTCACTTGTGTAATCTTTTCCTCATCGACTCTAGGGAAATCAGCTCCGTTTCCCGTCACACGACTCTCCTTGAAGCGATCTTAAGAAGTTAAATTGTCATTAACTCCTTTAATACCATACATGATTAAGTGAGAACAGAAGATTAAATCTATGCAAAAAGAATCGTTATAACTCTCTGCGAAAGTAAAGACAAAAAAGAAAGTTAAAACATTATCATAATTACACGTAATTTCGTATTTAGACATATACATGTAATGTCTACTCGCTGCTATTCTAGGTTGAGTGAGAACAAGTTTTCTCCAGATCTTTCCTCAGTATTCTCTCAAACTCCAACATAACCGTAATCTAAACCTTTAAATTAAATTTAATATGAATGTGTGGGTGATGTAATAAATAGAGGCTCGGATTAAGAGAGGTTCCAATTCTGATCGGGTTCGTTATATTCATTTAGGCTCACATACCCTGTGGAAAGGTATGAATTTATCTCCCACCGCCCAGCTATGGATTAAATAGTAGGACTTGTATCTGGAATTATCAAATTGCCAAATGGTCGTTACTACAATATTCACTCGGAAAAAATTAATTATTCTTATAATTCAAAGTATGTTTTAGCTTTAAATAACCTCCAAAGGGTTGATAATCCGTAAAAAGAAACAGAATTATTTAACGTATTTACTATGTTATAATTATTTTCATATTTGCAACTGATGTCTAATCGCTGGTACTACAGGGTGACTAAGAGTATGTCTTCCTTCCCAAGAAACTTCCTCCATATTCTCCCAGACCACAGCGTTGCCGGGGCCTAGACAATATAAACGCTTAAATGTCTATATTTCTGAGATGAGGTATTATGTACATTATTTACATTATTCGGACTATTGTCCTCATCTTCGTCGCCATATCTATCACAACGTTTCGGACGTTGTACGTTCCGGCCTTCTTCAGGTAGTTGGAATGTCGAACTGAACCCTTTATTTCGCTCACTGGGGTAGACTGTTCTAGTTCCACGTGCCATGTTTGATGGATGTCAGTTATCAGTTATCGCCTGTTAATTTCCCTCTGGACGTTCTCCACTGCTTTAACCGGGTATTGAACTCACACTCTTTGGGTCCTGTCACTGGATCTAACCAACGCCTTTATCCACTGTGCCACGTGTCCTTGAGTAAATAATGTAAACGCTTAAATGTATTAAAATTAAAAATCTTGATTTAGACTAAAACTTTGAGGTAGTGTACATTTTTTGAACCCTAAAGCTTTTCATTTAGTATGGAAATATGAGGTACACTATAATCCTGGGTTTAATTTAGAAACTGTGAGGCGGATAAGTTTTTGATTTTTAATAAATATGTGATATAATTTGAAATTAGGAGACAGATAAACATTTTTACCTTGATTTAGTTTAAAATAGCAACATTTTAAGTAGTATAACTATTTACATTATTAAGACTACTGTCCTCATCTTGTTGCCATATTTATCACAACGTTTCGGCCGTTGTACGCTCCGGCCTTCTTCAGGAGATTGGAATGTCGTACTGAACCTTTTATTTCGCTCGCTGGGGTAGACTGCTCTAGTTCCACGTGCCATGTCTAATGGATGCCAGTTATCTCCTGTTAATCCATCTCTCCAAGTTCTCCACTGATGAACTCACAACTCTTTGGGCCCTGTCACCGGATCTAAACAACGCCTTTATCCACTGTGCCATATGTCCTTAAGGACATCTGCGTATGAATTTCTGGGATTTATAAACTTAATGTTTTCAGCAAAAATTGTTTTACCAGCGCTCATATTGAAATTTTGGCTGTTATCATTTCTCTTTTTTACCAGAGCTCATATTGCAGTTTTCGTTGTTGTTTTTATTACTTTTCTCTGGCACTCCTTATTACTGGTTCCCATATTGTATTCATTTCTATTCTTGGTCACTCAGATTGTTTTCTGAGTGCTGTTGTCCTCCTCTCGTACCTGCCTATTCTAGTTTATTGGGGAAATATAGACAGATACTGAGTATTATAACTTTAAATATTCCTTTATATCAATCCGATTTCTAAAATTTTTGAAGTGATGCAAAATTCTAAGGTCAGTAATTAACAAATTTTCTCCTTGTTCCCAATATTTACAACTGGTTTTATAACTTGGATTATTGATATCAGCTTGAATATCAAAACCCCAAATAATAATAATAATAATATATCTGCACTGGAAAATCTGCAACTTCTACGGGAAGGAAACTGAAAGAAACTGGTATGAACACCACCCAGACCCGGTTACGGAGATAGGACCTGTTACAATTCTATGGGACTACAATACACACTGACAGAACAATCAAGGCCAACCGCTTGAATATTGTTATTAAAGACCACAAACAAAAACGGGGCTGACTGCAATGTATCTTTGAAGATATTCAAAAAGCTGTCAAAATACAAGGACTTTGAAATAGAAATCTCGAAAATGTGGCATATGGGAACATCAACAATCCCTGTTGTAGTTGGAGCCCTAGGACTGGTTGGAAAAGATTGCAGTAGACTAATTGAAGGGATTCCTGGAAGTCCATGCCTCAAGGAGATACAAAAAAATCTTTCTGACAAGTACAGCCCACACTTTACGAAGGGCTTTATCTATGTAATTTTTTTTTTTTTTTTTTTGTCAGTGGAAAGTGTCATGATGCCATTTCTAACCTTAGGTCCCTGGGCGGGACCCGGAAAGAAAATAATGTAAACGCCAGAAATCAAAGAAAATAATAATAATAATAATAATAATAATACACAGGCAGAAAAATCAAAGCTAATCGCCTAGACATTGTGATCAAAGACCACAAAAAACAGAATGTGTTTTCTTATTGACATGGCAGTCCCTGCAGACTGAAATGTACTTTGATCACTTTTCAAAAATACTATCGATATACAATATTCTTGAAGTAGAAATCTCACAAATGTGGCACATGAGAACATCAATAATTCCAGTGTTATTTGGAAACCTCGGATTGATAGGAAATGGTTCCGATAGACACAATGAAGTTTTAACTATGTATAATGGGTGTGATCTTAGTTTTTTGTTTTTTTGTTTTGTTTTGTTTTTTTTACAAAAAGGATCAGTGGAAATGGTCATGAAACCATTTCTGACTTTATGTATCTGGTTGGGACTCAGAAGGAAATGTGTACACAACAGAAATCAAAGGAAATAATAATAATAATAATAATTATTATTATTATTATTATTAATTGTCTTTGTGATCAGCTTATTGGATGTTCTGAGTTGGTTTTGCACCTACAGGATAACGATCTACATTCTGCAGCTTTAAGCATTAAGTAATTTTTAGAGTGTCCGTATTATGAAAAGTAAACATCCCTTGTTTATTTTTTTTAAATAATTTCACGCTAAACAAGGCAATAAAGCCACTAAAACGCGGGTGTGACTGTGTCTGAGGCAATATGAGAAAAAAAGAGCATTATTAAATAGAGACGACGATAACATAACAGGTATTAAGAAGATAGCGATTGATATTGCATTTAAATTTTTGAATATCACAGTTAACAGGAAAACAGGTAGGCGAAAAAGATTTCCTCAAGCAAGTAATGCGAGAAGAAAACGCTGGTAAGTTTAATGTTTCAACCAAAGGTCAAAAGTCCTTTTTCCATTGTTCCTAATGTTGCGATTACAATAAACACAGGTCTTATGTCCATATCACGTCGAAACCCCGGTTAACGTACGAGCACCGAAGTTAAGCAATGTTGAGCCTAGGTAATACCTACATGAGAGCCCGTTCGGAAATTCAAGGTGATGTAAGGTTTAAAGTGCGGGTTGGGTATAATGGATATTGACAAGAAATCTTTAATCGGAGAGCCGAGTTCCAATTTCAAATGAGTTCTTTATATTCACTTACGTTCAAATAGCATGGGTAGGGCATGAATCAATGGCTTCTCCCCCAATTTTGGGGCTGTGGATCATAAAATTGTAGATCATAAAATGTATTTTTAGTAATCTCTATCTATAAAAGACAGGATGTGTGTGTGTGTGTGTGTGTGTGTGTGTGTGTGTGTGTGTGTGTGTGTGTGTGTGTGTGTGTGTATAACGAATGCACGGCCGCAATTTTCGACGGATTTGCACCAAAATTTACATGCAGATGCTCCAAGTTAGCAGTAAGGCCAATACCAATTGTACATTTCCCAACTCCCATCCATAGTGGAAATAATCGATTTTTTCATGCTTCTACGGCAGTTTTCATGTAGTTTGCGGCCATTTTCTACTGGCCAGAGTGAGAGCCTATAGCTGGCTGCCACGAATAGGCAGAAAGATTCTATTGGCCAGCGTGAGAGCCAACAGCTGACTGACACGAATGTTAACTAGCATGCAAAAAAAAATCGATAGCTGCATTCGTAACAAGTGGGGAAAATTTAACTCTTCATGGCACTTTACTCCAATTGGCTCATTCGCTTGCTTAAACTCAACGTTGATTCTGATTCCGTAGAACTGGGTTGGGTGTAAAAAAGTATTTGTTGTTAACATTCTTTTTTCATTCGGTTTTTCCAGTTACGAGTCCTTTTTTTAAAGCTGATCGTTTTGTGTTCATTTTGTTTAGTTCTTTTTTCGTAACAGATTTAATGTTTAGTATAGAACTTTTAAAAAAATTCGCAGTGTAAGATAAGCAAGAAGTAAGACATGTAGCAACATCAACACGGCAAAGGGCACTCCTTTAAAGGCAAGGAAGGGCAAAAATATTTTAAGTCAAGTGATACTGATTGCTGTATGAGTCGTACGATTTTTTAATCAAGCCCGGGCAACGCCGGGCCATGCTGCTAGTTTTACTATAAAAATGTATTTTTATATTTTTTTACTGTCGCATTCATTACCATTTTTCTGTAAAAATCTATTGTTGCTCATTCCATTAGTAATTTTTGTTGCGGTAGGGGGTTCACTATTTGCCCAAAGCTGGGAGCCTAACAAGTGCTGCCACCCAGATATTCTCTTGATTTCGTATTTTGAGCCTAGATAGTTCAAAAGTAATTATTACTATTATTACTACTGCTGCTGTTGTTTTTTTTTTGTTGCTGCTGTTGTTGTTGCTGCTGTTGTTGTTGCTGTTGTTGTTATAATTTAATAGAAGAATGTCTTTTCTAATTTTTCGCAGATCTGTTTCTGAAGAGGTCGTTCACACGATATCATCTGTGTGAAAGTGTTCTTTTAAATCTTCCGACATTTTGAGAGACGCTGCTTGGAGATGAAGTAGTTCTTTTTTTTTTGTTTCGTTGTTGTTATTTTTTTGTTTTGTTTTTTGTTGGTTTTTTGTCCTTTTTTTGTTTGTTTTTGATGCTATTTTTTATTTTCTTTGTAATGAAAAAACTGATTTTAAAAAGGCCAAACGTTTAATTAAGATTGATTGCCTGTTCGTTGTTTTCAAAGCGTTTTATTTCACGCGTATTTATTA